AGAATTAGAACAGTCAGAATAGAAAGAGATCGTCGTATGTTACAGGTCATGTTCAATGGAGAATTAGATTCTCTTTCTATAACAACGACTGTGGATAAACAAATGGATGATAATTCCAATATATCAGGTAGTGTTAAAAGGAATGATAAACAGAGAAAACTAATACTGCATTTTGACATTCGTAACACTGTAATAGTGGCTGATTCGATAACGAACGTATCGGTGGAGCAAGCATTGAACAGTTTTCTGACTGGAGTAACATGGGGAAAAGAGTCTGATGATGGACGCTGGGTGTGGTATTCTGACAAACTGTCACTCACCCCTCCGTCTGAAGACACAATCACGTATTACAAGCATCTTGAAAAAATGCTGGTGAAGACGCCATCCGACAGGGCAAAGTTACGACTTCAAACAGGAGACTTCACTCAGTCCGAGATAGGTAAGAACTTCTTACCCTACTTTAATCAGCATATGAATCTATTACGCTGGACACATGCGTATGAACAAAATAACGAGTGTTTGACCATGAAAGGAATAGATGGACAACCTTATCATTATCTTCTTCCGGCTATATACAAATGTATCCATAAACTTTACATGGATAACCGTGACTTTGCAATAGTATTTCGAACCTACGGACTAGATGCTGAAAATGTGATAGCCAGTTTAGCACACGGGTTAGAAGGTAACCACCCAGGCTTTAACAAACGGGTAGCCATCTCAGTGAACAGGACCCCAGGATTCATCCGTAGAAGTGACGGGCAATGTATCAAATGTGAGATTCATGGCAATGAAGATAGCAAAGACCTTTTACAAACATATACCGGTGATAGAGATGTGTATAATGTTCTTAGCCAGTGCAACGGCATTCTGGGATTCAAGGATGATTTTGTGTATTGGCAAAATAATCAGTATCACCACACTGCTGGAAAACCCTTATTCATCGATCCATTTGACTGCAATGTTCATCACATCTTCTTTGATGATAACATCAGAACTTTTGAGGACGACAACATTGTAGATGTCAGGCTTTTTGAAACTAAAGGAGCTAAAACAGCCAGGAGTTTGTCGAAAGTGGAGGCAGCAAGCTTTGAAAATGTGTGCATGGTCCAAGCTGATCTGATAGAAAGCATCGAATCAGACGAATATTATACCGCTGCCGTGGATAAATGTGAACAGAATTATTCAAAATATCTGATGAAATGGCATGGAATATCTCGTGGACTTAGCTTGAATGGTTTTCATAATTTTGGAGTTCTTTAATTCAAGAGATTTCCTGCACACTACTAAATTATTTAACCTGAGTTCAAACTGTAGCAATGCTTTTTTATGTTCTTTTTTCTCTTCCTCAGGAAGTTGTGACTTCTTATTGATATGACAGATCACAAGTTAATTATTTTACATCAGATTGGTAACCGTAGTTATTCAGGAAAAACTCGCTAAGCAATTTCAATTGAGAAACATATTCATATATTTTTATTATGTAAACGTCGCATATTTTACCCTGTTAAGAGTGGCAGGAGGCAAATTAACATTACGAAACAGCAACTTACGGAACATGTGCGGTAGTTAACACATACAAGATCTGAAATATAATTTCATATGTGAAAGTCATAGCAGAAAAAAATGTGAAATTGTTATTTGGAGTTAATTGCTATCATAGTTCTTTGTTATTTCTAAGGTATGCAACATTCTTTAACTATACTTATATATTATTACTATTTGTTTGTATGTTTTTTTTTGTCTGCCAAACACTGTCCCAATCGACCGAACTACCCATCTACATAACTATTCCTAGCTATTCTAATTTGCTATCATTCCTTCTTAGATCAACTGTCCTACTTACCTACCTACCTAACCAGCTATCTACATTTGAAGTTTTCCACGTTGACCATTTTCGTAATTAGATCAATCCGGAAGGTTTCCTTCTCTGTACCTATCTTTAGTGGCTTAGACAATGTGCCAATCCACCAATGTGTGGCACCGGAAATTAAGAACATTTTTCAGATGAGAAAAGACGTTTCTGTGTCAAAAACGGATCAAATTTTAGCAAGCATCGGATACCAGTGCTTTTGCATACAGCTATTAAAATAATAGAATATTTTATAGTATCCACTGTGCTGAAAAGGGTCATTGAAACATAATTTATTTCAGGGAATTCTGTTCAATTAAAAGTAGAGTTAGGATGCCATTTCCCACTTTTCACAGTGTCCTCACATCAAATCGTTTACGACAACGAGAAAGTATACTATAATAATGTGAAGTTATTCATATAAAATACTATCAAATGGAGTAATGAGCTTCTTGTACCAAAACGTGTAGAAAAGAATTTATTGAAGGTTCATTTCTGATAATTTTGCAATTGTATGACATCTAAGACTGCCTTGAGAACGGCAAAATCCAAAATACGTTTAATCATGCGTCAACGTTATGCCGTATCTACGAAATTCAGCCAGTTGTCACACGATTGTTTGCTTTCCTTCTGCATGAACGAAATCGTGTAGATTCAACAATCATATTTTCAAACGTATGCACAATTACGACAACGGTTTAACTAGTTACTACTGCACTTTTAGGGTTTAATATGTCCCGTCTTTTTAATCATTGTGTGTATGACTCTAACATTATTTATATGTATAGATGGAAAAGATATGGCAATGTTGCGACCTGCTAGACTGCAGAGAATTGATTTTGGCTAGGTAAGCAACAAGATGGACAAGTGGACATAAAGTCTAATTTGACCAAATTTTCTCTCTCTTGAAGACAGTTTTATTACTTGGCTATTATATTCCATGACAGAGCGTAATATATACAAATCATGCGTAGAGAAAAGAAATCACCAAGATGTTTTCAACGGCGCATGTCCTTGTAAAGAGCTATATACGCAGGTAGCCTGATTATTCAAATTCACATTCAGAAGCTATCATTTCAGTCCAAAGTGAAGTGTTCGCCAAATCGAAATTTGTTTATTGAGCAAGCTAAGCTCTCACGCTCTTTTAGCCCTTGAACTAAGACCCGTATTCAGTAGCTTAGCTCGTTTATTCACTTCAGATATGTTATATCTCCACGACCATTTTTTCACATTGATCTGGATTCCAGATATATTCATTTAAAACAAAAAAAAAAAAAAAAAAAACAGAATAAAGAATAATGTCGAAATTGTTTGACTTTGATTTATATAACAAATTGTACAGTTTCTAAATAAAATGCACGTAAAAGTCAGTTAAGTACACGCACAAGTGGTTATGATATATAAAAAGATGTTTCAAGATGTGAGAACTTAATATTCAAATAACATTTTTTTTTTCAATACAGAGAGGAGAATCGGTAGAGCGGTCTAATTATAACAATATTGTTTTTCATTTTTGGCCATGATTTTGTTGAAGCACGCTTTTCTCCCATATCTTGATGATCACGTCTTTTCTTTCCGGAAACATTTAAAGAGTAAGCAAGAATTTAAATAAGATTTCAATATTTTCGTGCTAGGAAAGATCTAGTAGGAAGTATCCAAATTTTTATACGTATGAGAAACAAAGGGCAGTTATGAACGAAATGAAAAGACTCCAGGTGTTTTTTTTCAATTATGTCCCAGACATTTTCTGACTGAATCTATTGATCCTTCTTGACAATGGTGAAGTGATTTTAAAAAACTCTCAGGTTATTCATCAATATTTAGCGAGATTTTCATGATAGTTTTCGTTCGTGTAAGCATTACTTGTCTGCAGTGAAGAAGACTGTCAAAGAATAATAGAATCTATTTACGTCATTTAAAATCGATTAGTCGTACACATCTCCAGGTTATATTACTGTTAAACCTATTTACCCCCCCCCCCTGAAAATCCGAATTGAACAACCAAACATACCAACAACGTTCTTTGAACTATACAGCGTGTGGTAGGCAAATTTACTATGTACAACAACGTGAGTTGTCGTATTTGAATCTTCATGAGTGAGATTCATCTTGTACATACAGGATGTCATCATACATTTTATTCCCTCTCCTCTTTTTCCCAGAACATTCTGACATCATCAATCACGTGAGTTCACACTGGCCCTGTAATGGCTCAGACTTTATCTTGTTGGCTCTAAGTAGTGCCAGAGCGAAATACCTGAATCCAAATTATTTCTTGAAAAAAATTACATGTGAAGATATTTATAAACGTTTGCATGTTCTTACAAATCTTGAAACCTTGTTCTATTCAATCTATTCAAAACTAATTTAAAACTATATTGTCACCATGAATAATAAGCGCCTAATTCGATTGTTTCCTCTCGGTGTAAACTTGGTCCAGTTTTTAAATTTCAGGAAGAGCATAATACCTGTCGAAGAGTTTATTCAATGCAGTCAATTGCTAGTGTCCATATTTTGAGTTGTAAAGGAATGCGTTGAAAGTTTACCTGAAGGCTTAACAATTCATAATTTTCATTCCAATGCTTTCTGAATAAAGGTAATAATATGACAAATACTGAATGCACTGTTGAACTAGGTAATTTGAATTAGGTAGTTTTGCTGTTGTTTGTGTTTTTGTTGTTGTTCTTGTTAAGGGTTTAATGCCATTTTTTCAGCACATGATAGACTATAGAGATATAGGACCGCTATTTCTTTTTAGTCAGAGAACCAAAGTAAAGTACTAAATATTGTGCGATGCGCCCATCGGTTTGTAAATGGATTGACTTTTCCAATTTATATTTCATAAACTTCAATCTATGCACTATACTAGACATTAAAATATTTACTTTCTATATCCCGTATTTATTTTCCCACTGACTAAATAGCATAATAATTTGCTGGTATTTGGCGTGAAGCAATGTTGTTAAGTGCAGATCAGTGAGACCTTTATTCAGAAGCATGATTCGCAGGAAAATATTCTCTATCTAATGAATGGAAACGTGTGGTGTTTGTATGCCAATCAAATTATAATATTTTTTTTATTTTGTATATATTAATATTAAGCAATAAGAAAAAAGAATTGGCGGTCCGATCCTTAAATGGCGGGACCGCTCCGGTGGTCTAGTGGCTAGAGCGTCCGCTTGGGATGCGAGAGGTCGCGGGTTTGAACCCCGGTCGAATTATACCAAAGACTTTAAAAATGGTACTAACAGCTGCCTCGCTTGTCGCTCAGCATTAAGAGAATAGTGTTAGGACTGGTTGATCTGGTGTCAAGATAATGTGACTGGGTGGGACATCATGCCACATGTCTGCTGCATGATGTCCCAGTGCTAAACATCACTATAAGCTGTCACACTGCAGGCATCGTAGCGATATGACTGAAAAATTATTAAAGCTACGTTAAAAATCTAAAACTCACACACACACACATAAATGGCGGCTAGAATATTTGGTGGATGAAGTAAATTGGAAACGCTGGGAAGAACTAACGACGCATGGGATGCGACTGGAAACTGTTAACTTGGCTAAAGTTGGTACACATAGATACAGTAGTCAGGAGAAGAATACACATGTTTAATTTAGTCAAATAAGTTTCAAATTAACTTTTTTACCGTTTATACGTTACAGTGATATCCACTTCTTGTAACATCATGTTTTATATTACGAAATTAGAGCACGATCAAAGACTATTCACTGACGCAACCCTTTAAACGGCAAAGCAGTACAGGAGGTTATGCAACCTCTGTAATTGTCGTCTTTAAAATCCAATATGAACAAGGTTTTCTTTTTTTCTTTCATCATATTCTGTTTCCATCCCTTGAGTGAGTTTCGCTCGCTCATTAACGGGTGCTGTTGACTGTACGTTCATACATTGGCATAAGATGGAGTTAACACTATTTAAATTCTTTTATTGCATTCATTTAAGCAAACATAAAGATTTCACAGTAAAGTGGTCCAGCAGTTTAAAAGTTTCCTACAAATCTTATGCCTCAAAAAGATTTTTCGATGTTAACCAAAAGAAGTTTAAATGTCCGTGACGTTACATATGGTTATAATTGCTGTTACTAATACTTCAGTATCATACTTGCATACTTGTATCGTGACAGAATGTACCTGAAAAAAAATAAAGGTACATTGTCATACGAACAGAGGTGCCGTTTCTTAAAGTAAAGCCAATAAATACTTGATACAACCCGATTTTTTATGGAGGAAGCAAAATACGTGAAAGGAACATGTAAGAATTTAATCCCTTCAGAATCGGTTCATGATACAATATGTTTAATATAGCAACGTGAGTAACAAACTTTACTAATAGATAAAATTGATTTTACAGTAATAGAAGTCATTATCCATTATTCAATAATATAAAAAGAGCGTCTCAGATTAGGAATAATATAGAAATATGGTACAACAATTATAATTTTATTTACTATTTAATATTTCAGTGTCTTACATATAAGTTAGACATATTAGATTGTCAATCAAAATGTCATGGTTTGTTATCACGATATAGCAGTGGACATGGCTAATATTACATTGATTTTGGCGGCCAACACAAGAAATCCAATTATTGTCCACCAGCGGTGCCCTGAATCTTGATGCTACAATGTACAGACGCAAAACCCAGCAAGAAAATGAATTGGAAGCAGTATGTTTCTATACTTGTAGCGGGTATAAAGAAATATCTTGTTTGGAGGTGTTTAAAGCCCTCCTTTGATCTTGTACAACTTTTTCAAGTGCAATATATTACAAATGAAGCAGTATACGTAACTTACATTTATAGATTGAATTGATACGGGGGGGGGGAGACTGGCAGAATTATTTACCTATTTATTACATACCGTAACTGAATACAGAAGGTATAAATAGAACATTAGGTTGAGTATGGGTGTTAGGTGTTACTGAAAGAAAAATGGGTTGGGTTAGAGGCTGGTGTTTAGTGTTTTTTAATGCATCAATGGATTGGTAGGGATTGGTTGTTACTGAAAAATAAAAATGATACTACTTCTTTACGTATTGCTTTATTTACATACATACTATAAGTGACAAGTCATGCTAAGATTAATAGCAGTAAGCTCTTCTATGTTTAGAACTGGTGTTCTTTTCTAACAAATGTACATCTTCGTAGTATTTAATATATAAAAATAAAAAAAAAATTCGTTGGCCTGTCGAAGTTCCTCAGTCAGTAGAGATGACCGTGATCGTTCAATATAGACCTTCTAGCATGTACTTCGGCAAATAGAGCCAGATCAGATTAGGAAGAAGCAAAATGGCTGACCTTGGTATAGATTCAAAACCCCCGAAAGTTAAGACCGATATACTTATTTAGTAGAATGGAATATGATGTAAAGTGTCTAGAAACATACACGAATGCTTCTTAAGAAAAGTTTTTCAAAAAAAGTTGAATAACTTCAAACATTTTGTGAGTTGTTAGTGAGTGAAAGAGTTTCATACATTTAATTTGTAATCAGCACACACACACATACACACACACACACAAACACTGATCAACTTAACGGCATTATAGTGGAGTGAAACGACACTGAAACACTTGCAAGTTACATCAAACTTATGGTGATATAAGTATAATTCCTTATATGACTTCACACACTGATGGGGGAGGGGAGAAGACCTGACTTGAGTGACGACGTATAACGATTGGGGGTGGGGTTGATAAATGTGACGTCACGCAACACCAGCAACATCTACCGGAGAAAACGTAAACAACGTAGCATTACAGTATCATTAAATTGGAATAAAACATTAAGAAATAAATTCATGAGATAGATGTCCGCAAATTTATTGTTGGATTTAAAGTAATTGTTTCCGTTATGTTTCTCTTCTACATAGATTTTCAGACAAATAAACCATGGTTGCTCAAGATATTGTTTTACTTGTTAAATAATTCAGAACGTAGTGTTGTTTTGATGTGTGTTAATCAATACATAATTAACGCTCTGAATACTTTTTGTGCGGGGGAGGGGACAAGTCTTTGCGAAGTCATATAGGGGGTAAGTTTCTAAGTCTCTGTGCCTAAGTGTGACAAGGGTGTGTATATTATGAGAAGGAAACACTAGTAGCTTTAACATATGCCTTGGCCCATGCTGAGAGAGAGAGAGAGAGAGAGAGAGAGAGAGAGAGAGAGAGAGAGAGAGAGAGAGAGAGAGAGAGAGAGAGAGAGAGAGAGAGAGAGAGAGAGAGAGAGAGAGAGAGAGAGAGAGAGAGATCATGCTCTGTTAAATATAAGGTGTCACGCATAACGGTGTAGATACGGTTACATTTTGGGGAAGCTCTGGCAATGCAAGAGATACACTGGAGCCTGTAAATGATACAAACCTCGTTGAGTTCCGACGAAATGGGCTGAATGTTTTTTAAACACTCAACATACAAAATTACATTCCAATATCAATCTACATAAACTTAAATTACGAATATAAGAGATACATATAAAACTACGATATTCCTTCACTTAGCAACATCATACATTTGTATAATTTCTACCTTTAGAATATCATGCATAAAATTATATATCTAAACTTAAATATTACAGACTATTACCGCAATCATTTAGCAAAAATATATTTTACTGATTTTATTCTAAAATACCAACATACTAAACTCTACTATTTAAAGAGTATCTCATTTCTGATTTAGTTATTACTGAGTATGAAGATGGTAACGAACATCGCCCTTTAAAATTTTCAACAAATAAATTAGAAGTAAATATAAGTTCTTCAAACGATTAAACTTTCCAATATAATATATTAGAAAACATTATAGAAATATTAAAATAAACCAATATTGCAAATGTACCGATCTTAGACTCAACACTTATTTTAACAGCCTAACATCAAAAATCCTTATACTATACAGAAAATTGAAAGCAGACGGGAGCTTACATGTAAATGGTACAAGTCTCTTTAAGTTGCGACGAAAAGGACTGATTTTGCCAAGCAAATAGTTTTGCTTCTTATGCACAATATCTCAAGATGAGGTCATATATAATCATACTTTTTAGTTCTTTGGGTTTCTTCCGAATTTCAAACTGAGGCTTTATCGTTTTCTTACCGACTATAGTCTGGGTCTAAACGTCATCAGACAGATTTTTTCATGAACACGTGAATAGTTAGTGAAATCCTCAACAGGAAGGAATTTGCTTATTCAGCGCTGTTGCTGCAGAGTTCTAAATTTGCTAACTTAAGTATTAGACAATGTGTATGATCTCACATAGAAAAACACTCTAGTACATAATTATACTACAAGAGATAAAAATTCGTTTTTAATTAAATTTACTGAAAAATTCCATCCTAACATGTATTAAAAAAACGGCCAAAATTGTGTGATTTTATATATGTAAAAAATAATTCGCGAGCACTTACAGGCAAGTGTGTAAAATGTGATTAAAATACAAATTTAGCTCCCTTAACAAGTCTGCGAAGACAGGTGGTGATATCGCTGCGTAATTGTGAAAATTACCAGGGACTCCATGGGATAAATGCCCATGAAAAAATATTTACCCGTATATAATTATTGTGGTCCTGGAACTTGACTTGATATCCGACTTGACGAACAAGACTAACCAAGACCTGGAGAGTATCTAATAAATACGATTGATCAAGAGTGTCAAATTCATAATGTCGCGTATTAAAGTAATGATTTGCAACAACGACATTTTGCAGATGTGAAGTTGATTCACGCATTAAATTCCATAGAAATTTAGTCTCTCAGAGAGAAAATTGCTAGCTTCCTAGTAAAATCTGCAATAAAAGGTCAACTAGTTGTTAGGGCTGGTAATAAATCAACTGATTATTATAAAATAAAGGAATCTTTTTATTACAGTCCAAGACAATATTAGAGGGATAGAGCAGCGATTAATAAACTTGCTGATGCAGCAGGTGTCTCACGTTATGTTGTTGCAAATTGGATAGCACGACAGGCAATATGGCAAATTTATAAACAACCACCTACAAACACATGCAAGTAAGCGTTAACTTCGTTTGTGTTGCAAGTAAATATAAAGAAGCTGAACCACTATCAACTAAAACAGAAACTGAAGTCAATCACCGTTTAAACGACTTTATCAACGTAGTGGTCTACAATGGCCACAGTTATTACAGGTTGATCCTGGCAAAAAAAAATATTGGTGCACTAACATCGTTGATGAAAAAAGAACATGATGTCA